TTGTGATAGAAAATCCGTTAATGTTTGACTTGAATCTTTCAGTTGTGGTGTTGGGGGGTGTTGTTTTGGTGTATGTGGCGGAAGGGGATTCAATTTTAATATTGTAGTCCAACTTACAATATCATATGTTGGACTCGGATTATCACTTAGCTCGATGTCTGTCATATGCTGACTGTGAAGGTTGTCCCTAAATTGTGTTGCTTAGGTGATTGCTTGTCTTGATGTGAGGACGAATGACAGGGGAGATCTTGTTGTAACCAAAGGTGACCAATATGATGTAAGAGAGCACACAAAAGAGAATGAGGTATTGCAACAATTCTTGACACTTTCCTTATACATTTTTGGTGATTTTTGTACCTTGTTTCTGGATACAAATTGTCATGTTTACAAAAGATTTTATAAATCCCATGAGTGAATAATAATTTATCTCAGTCAAAATTTATAAGATCTAGTTCAATAAGCCCCACTTATGGATCTTACTGTAGATTCTTTGCTTGTTTCAAGCACTTCTGGTTTGATAGTTGATACCTTTTTTTCCCTATTTGAGTAGGTGACCTGCTTTAAGCAGCACCCGAAGAAAGCATATCTTTGGTTTGACGGAATATTGTTATTAGTTAAAAAGAAAAGGGTTACTTTTTCTATTCATTGGGGTTCTTGTTCTGTCATGACTGTTCAAGATCTTACTTGATATCTTTTCACATTCTTGATATGGTTCAAATTATTTTCGTTATATTGCTTTCATGTCTGCTAATCAGAAACTTTAATAGGTAAGCCTGTGGAGCTTGCTCGACAATATTACAAAGATGGGGCTGATGAGGTGTGCCTCCTTAAGTTTGAACAAAATTCACTGCTTATATATTATCAAAGAGCCATAGTAATCTGCTGAAGTCTTGGTTTTGAAATTTTCAGGTCAGCTTTCTAGTATTACTGGTTTTCGAGACTTCCCTCTGGGCGACTTGCCCATGTTACAGGTTTGTGATAGAAAATCCGTTAATGTTTGACTTGAATCTTTCAGTTGTGACACAATTGAGAGTTCTCCGATTTTAAAGCTGGATTGTTACATGTTAATTAATTTCCTAATTCTTATTTTCTTTCATGCTTTGTAGGTATTGAGATATACATCAGAAAATGTTTTTGTACCATTAACTGTCGGAGGTGGCATCAGAGATTTTACAGATGCAAATGGCAGGTATAATCTTAGGTGTAAAATTTTGATGGACCAATAATTGTCTTTTCTTGCACATTTCATCTTTCTTTCCTGCATATGTTTTTCTCTAGAGAAACTCAATCCAATAGCTTCAACTCAAATTATATATGCGAATTAAATGTATCAGTATGGAGTCTATGGACATGGATTATAGGTTCATTTTTTTATTTTTCAGGCACTATTCTAGTTTAGAAGTTGCTTCGGAATATTTCAGATGTGGGGCTGATAAGATTTCTATTGGAAGCAATGCAGTTTATGCTGCAGAAGAATATTTGAGAACTGGAGTATGCAATAACTTTCGCTGTTTCAAATTCAGGTCTGTACAATCCACATCTCTGTAAGCCTCTCTAATGGTTGTTCAACTGACTTTTCAGGTAAAAAGTGGAAAAAGTAGCTTGGAGTAGATATCTAGAGTTTATGGAAATCAGGTAATATGTCGTCCAGTATATGCATCCATGCTTAACATTCTTTTGAGTTAATCTGCACAATTTGACATAGTATAAAAAGTCTCAGTACACATTTTGTTATATTCCAATTAATAACAGCAATGCAAAGTGCTAGTCACTCCCCCAAATTTATCATTTTCCTTAGCTGGAATTGTCCCAGCGTCCGTTTTTGAAGCATTTTTTTAACCCTCCGAGAATTCATTATGGTTCTTGTAGGACCATAACTTAGGAAACAAGAGTTGATAAAGAAGCTCATCTCATTTTGTTCTTTCTGCTTTTACGTGTTCTGAATTTATTGACGGTGAAGACTTTCTGTTTGGAGTCTTGGCTGACTAATTAGTCATGGTCACCTAGATGGTTGTAATTATGTCTGGTCACGTAGACGGTTGTAATTATGTCTGCCATTATGTCTTAGTCTTGCAGAAAGCATGGATCAATGTTTTTATATGATGCAGGCTGTGGTCGTGAGCATTGATCCTTGCAGAGTGTATGTTAAAACTTCAAAAGATGTAGAGTTCTAAGGCTAGCAAACCCAGGTAACGGGCCGTAACTTCAAATCTTTCCTTCCTCGTTTCTCCTACTTGGATACACCGTTGATCTTCATGTTTTATAGAGCAAAACCATGTGTTAAAATATCTAGGAAAGTTGTAAAGAAATAAATTCTCTTAATGTTAATTTCAGGTCCAAATGGAGAAGAATTTGTATGGTACCAGTGCACAGTAAGTATTCTTTTCGTTTGCTTTCTTTACCTATGTAGTACCATTCAAAGTTAAAACATGATACATTTCTGAAGCATATTACATGGAATTGCTTCATTTAATTAATCCCCATAAAATAAAACAGCAACGAGAATCCCCTGAACCTCCATGTCTTGGAATTTCCTTCAAAATATGCGTAGTCTGGCATTAATTATCAGCTCTAAAGACATGATTAGGACTTAGGAGTACATATTGTTGATTTAAGATAGTCGCAGGTAGAATTTTAAGTTCTTCACAAGGGAGAACGGAACTTAGAGTAACTCATGTCATTTATTTGTACCCCACACACATGGCTTTATCTGTTTGCGCTCCATTGAATTGTTCATTATTCCAATTTAACTTGTATTATGATACACCGTGAGACATTTCTGTGCTTCAGTTGTATGCTAAATATATAATTGGCAGGACAAGAGGATGAACTTGGTTGTCAGATGCAACAATTAGAAATCCTTATAACAAGATTTTCCCGATTATATCTTGAAAGTATATGTTGTTTGTTCTTCAGGTTAGCGGTGGCCGAGAAGGCCGACCAATTGGAGCATATGAGCTTGCAAAAGCAGTTGAGGAGCTGGGAGCTGGAGAAATACTGCTAAACTGCATTGATTGTGATGGTAAAGATTACTATTACTTTCCTCAAAACTTTTCTGTTACAAGTAAATTTCTTTTTCGAGCATAACCCTTCTTTATAAAATGGATACTTAAAGTTAATCATTTGTACAATAAATGCTATCTTTCCCCTGTTAGTTCTAGTTTCTCAAACTTCCCAAATGTTTGAAACTATATATTTTGTTCTGGAAGGCATTGCTGTCATTTACAATTTTCTTTTACTTCATTCTCAAACTAGTTTGTTGTTTTTGTTGGATTTTCATGCTTATGTCGAGTCTTCGATGCTTTCAGGTCAAAAGAAGGGATTTGATATAGATATAATAAAGCTGATCTCAGACGCTGTGAACATTCCTGTGATTGCTAGTAGCGGTGCTGGTTCTGCTGAACACTTCTCCGAGGTGTTCAGGAAAACAAATGCATCGGCTGCCCTAGCTGCCGGCATTTTCCATCGGAAGGAGGTATAGCTTTTGAACATTTTATATGACTTGTTAGCATCTAGGTGCTGATTATCATTGTTAATACTCTGATTATAATCCTTGCAGGTGCCTATTCAGTCAGTGAAGGAACACTTGTTAAACGAACGCATAGAAGTCAGAATCTGAACCCAGCGTTGCCGAAAGATGTAGGTGACCGACTCCTTTTTTATCGCAAAAAGAAAAACGTTTTAAGAGATGTGCAGTCCGTCAGTCTGCTAAGCGGAAACTTTTTAACTCTTTGACCCCGAGCATGTACCTTCATGTTATGGCAGCGATTTCCCCAACGAAATTTCGAGTTATTTAAACAGGGCACCCTTAAATTTTGAGGATTTTTGCAGAACTAATAGTATGTAAATGTTGCAGTCCTGTATTTTACAGTATGATGTTATGTATTACTCGGCAGGTGAGACTTTTCAATATTTGAATTTGAACCTAAGTTTATTTGTGGCCGAGTAATTTAGCTCCTCCAGTGCACTCCTTCGCCATCTAAAGGTTAAATATGCAATTAAAAAGGAAGAATATCATATCTCGTATCTGAACGTTAAATGATGAATATATTAAATAAATGCATATAATGTAACCAGTTGCAAAATTTTGATTTAGCATTTGCAAATGGGGGCTTTAGATCAATCCAAAAAATCAACATAGTTATTAGGTTATGTCCACTGTTGTCTTTTCCCCACTTTTATTTCTTTTATACTCATTACATATATATTTTTTAAATATTAGAGATAAACAAAAATCTTTTAATTTCATCCATAACATATGACTGTAACTTAACTAACAAATATATGCATTATTTATACCTTTAAGTAAGATATAAAACTTAACTAAAAGGTACAAAAACGTCCCATTTATAGGTGTTTTTTTAATTTTATAATCTACTTGTATAAGCAAGACACATTATTTAACGGATTGTCTTAAATTGGCTAACGGATGTAAGCACAATGACCAATTTGGCCAAATTAAAAACACAGGAACTAAATTGGCCGATAGAGTAAAACACAAGGACCATTTTGCCTTTTTTTTTTTTTTTTTTTTCGAGGCAGGTTGATTATAAAACAGAACTATCATATAGGAAGATAAATACAATTATCTATGATATAAGTTGATTATAAAAATTAAAAATAAAATCTATAAATAGAGTTTAGAGCAATAGGAAGAACAAGAAATAACAACAAAAGAAAATAAAATGGGAGTTTTAACGAAACACTCCCGATATTGTTTATTTTTAACGAAAAATCACATTTTTTTCCCTTTCCCTGGTTCTTTCCACTACACCTTTATTTGTCATTTTTCATTAAAACTAAAGATTTTTTGGACTTTTCATTAGTTTTCTTAAAAAAAAAAATTAAGAATAAGAAGAAATAATTAAAAAGATAATTAGGAAGAAATTTATTTTTTATAATAAATTTTAACATTAAAGAGATAATTATTATTTATAATAAAATTATTCAAAAATATGGGATTTGACTTGTTTTAATAAATTGAACTATTCCTAATGTACTAAATAAATTGATCTTGCAAGTATAATTCTTCATTGAATAAAGACTTGTATTTTATCAAAAAGGAGAAAGACTGTAATTTGTCCAATTTCCAATTGTGTTCTAGCTAAATATACAAAACCAAAATTAATCAAAAAAGCTTGCTTGCAAACTCCTCTTTGACCTGCTTCAATCTGGAAGCCAAAGACTCAGAACTCGCCAGATCTCTGAGCTCCGAAATGCTCCTTCCGAGCTGAAGCGCCACTTTCACTTCGAACACCTCGCCATTCTCCCTCTCCCCCCCAACCTCCCCTTCCTTCAACGCCAACTGTATCGTCTCCTCAATCAGCTTAAAAAACCCAGCAGAACTCCTATACATCTCAAACACCATCCCCACCTGCCCGCCGTGCTCCAAACTATTCACCACCAGACCCAAGCCCCCACACACCACAGCCAGCACCGTACCCCACCACCCAACAAACCCATCACACCCTACAACCCCCGCCCCAGCCGCCGCAAACCCGGTCAGCATTGGCCCACACATTGCCAGAATCTTGTTCACCTTCAGCACCACATTGCTGAGCCTCACGTATTCCGCACCATCTTTTCCTCTCACCACACCCAACACGCTCTTCATTTCCTCCTCCAACTTCTCATCCCACCCGTTCCTCTCTGCCTCCTCCTCGCCCGCCTTCTCATGCTCAGTCTCGTGCTCCTCCGGCCACCACACAGCGGGCTCCACGTGGGAAGGGAACTTCTCGATCATGGTTCCCAAAAGAGGAAGCGGGTAGGCCTTGTCCAATGCCAGCACCTTCTCCATTGCAAGTTTCACATCGTTTGAAGTCGGAGTTTTCAGAAACAGCGTCGTCTTGATCTCTTGGTGAAGCCGTTTGAACAGCCTCGAAGCGTTTCTCTGTTCTTCCGCCAGCTGGGAAGGCTGGATTTTGTTCATCACCAGCAGAATCCCGGTGACGGAAATGTAGAGGAGGCCTGCAGAGAGCTTGAGGGGCAGAATGGACGCTCCGGATACAGCCGCTGATGCGAATCCGGCCATGATAGCCGCCGTGGCTGTCATTCCGTTCACGGAGTTCAAAAGTAGGGCGTTCCAGTTGTCCCTCTGAGCACATATGTTCTTATGCATTTCTGCTCTGTCAGACACAATCTCCATTACTGCGTACAGCTCTTGCACCAAATTCGAATCCAAATTTGGTTCGTTACGATTTGATTTTTTCTTGTTTCCGAATTTCGGGTTGTGTTCTAAATCAGTTGAAGTAGCTGCTAGATTTAATTCATTCACAAGGAGCTGTCTAGGAACTGGGAGAGAGGATGATTTTTGGAATTTTGGTGTGTGAAGAGCGGCTCTTGTGTTTCTAAACGTAGCTGAAGAAAAACGAGAAGAAGAACAAAAAGAAGATTGAAGCGTAGCCATCGAGAAATGCTCCAAAATTGGTAGGGTTTGCCACTCTGCTATCAAACTTGAGATTGATGGTGTTTTTGTGAGGAATTGGTTGAGATTTTATAGAGAGGGAATTGAGAGAGTACCACGAAATGGGCGTGGGGTTTTTAAAGTAATTCTGGTTTTGTGTTTGACTCATTTTCACCTTTTGAGTTTGACCATTTACTGAGAAAATAAAGTTTTGTACTTGCGCAGACCCTCTTTGTGAGGATTTCGGAATTATGTAAATCGTGTTCGTTCAACGTATATCGTGCGATCAAAAATTATTTTAAATATTTTTATTAAAAAATAAACATAAAAAATACCTAATAAAAACTTATCGTATGATGTACAATAAACAGACACAATTCACAAATTCTCGAAATTATAAGAGAACCCGCTAGGATCCGGACTTGTAAGTTTGGGGCTTGAGAGAGTCAAATTTTGAACACTCTGCTAGGTTGTCTTGTGGTCCATGTCTCTACAGACGACTTCTATAGACGACTACGAACCAATTAAAAATGTAATTGATGTCCGAACTGAAATTAACTTATTATCATGTGTTGCATGCCAATGTAATAGTCTTCACTTTTCAATTGAGAGTGAAAAGTGTGGTCCAAGGTTTAACGCGGGGTTTGGTGATCTACTACTAACATGTGAAACTAATCTCAACTTAAATTTCCTGTGTTGATGTAGAATTGAGTTAATATCGAATCAACTTAGATCTGACCTTAAAAGTATACAACCACACAAGAACATAAGATATATCGTGATTCACCCTGAGTTGAGGCTAAGCCCACGTTGGTCTAACCTCTAGTTTTACTAAGTAAATGTAGGTAACATTATACATGCAGACTTGTTGGCTTTGAGAGAGTAAACAGGCTAGAGTTCCCTTCTCTAGTGAGGTTGGGGGGCCCTTTTATAAACAAAGGGTTTGCCTTCGCCTTTTTCACCGCTTATGTCTGCTAAATAGTGAGGCTCAAATAATAACCTACAAGACTAATAGGTGTGGAAATCTATTACAAAAAAAGCATGGGTGAAATTATAAAAAAAAGACACTAAATATTAAGTTATTGTTACAAATTATATTAACATAGTATGATTGTCTAAATCTTATGTAGAGAAAATTTAGATTCCTACTAGACTTTGCATTACTTGAGGAGCAAGTTATTCTCTCCCTCTTATTCCTGTAAATAAAGGTCCTAGGCATAAGGAATATTAATCACATAATCCTCAAGCCCTTTTCTTCTCTATCTCTTTCCTTTCTTCTTCTCTATTCAAATGTAGGTCTCTCGAGTGGTTATGTATGTTACAACCATCCGCGAATGTCTACCGGGTGGTTATGTATATTACGACCATTCGCTCTATCGAGGCACACATGTGGCCAACTCAACCACTAAGCTTCCATTGGAAACCATGTTGTGGCATGACCACTTAGGACACCCATGACGAACTATGATGTGCCGTATTCTTAAAAAAAAAACAATCAGGGGCATCCCCTTCCCTGATGTATGGACATTGTTCATCTTTGCATTTCATGCGAAACATGTTCATTGGACAAATTGCTTACTCATCAATTCACGAACAAGATTCGAACAGATCCTTCATCTTTTCTACAGCAGATTCAGAGGAATATTTGTGGATTGATCCAACTAGCGGACCAATTAAATAATTTATGGTTTGGTTGACATATCGAAACATTGGTAACATGTTTATCCACACACAACACCGCTTTTCTAGGCTTCTAGCACCAATATTAGGTTGTGGGCTCACCACCCCGATTATGCCAAAAAGTCTAGAAGATTGGATAATGTTGGAGAGTTTACAGCGAAAAGTTCGATGATTATTGCATTTCCCTTGGGTACATAAGTTGAAGATTTAATTCCTTATGTTCACACCCAAACAATCTCATAGAAACCATTCATTAATGCCTTTACATGATCGTATGGATCTTGGTAGTGAGTGGACTAAGCTTCCGGTTTTTTGCATGCTATTTTGGCATTATTGTTGGTTATTGGGTATGAACCTAATGTTTTGTATTTATGCGTTTGGATGTGCATTATATGCGCCAATTGTGCCGTCAATGTGAAATCCCATTCCCAGATTTCACTATTTAAAATTACATATCTCATATGTAGTATTCATATTCGTAGTTTCAACGCGTTTATATTTATGATGTATAAAATTTTTATTCAATAAGTAAAAGGACGAAATTGCCCCTATTGTGTTAAACAAGATTCTTTGTGGACGTACTTGATATTTTTATAATTTTTCATATTTCTTTGCATATATAGATAGTATGTGTCGATACGAACGTGTGGACGCAAACAGAATTTAAATTGGAGTTATAACGAATGAGTTAATAACGAACAAAGTCAAGGGCAAAATGGTTATATAATTATTACATTTGGAAGGCTCCAGATTTGTTGAAGCAGGAATAGCTGGGATGAAGCCACGTGTGCGGCAGTGATGGAAAGGTGAGAAGAGAAAGGAGGTGTGAAACTACCCCAATCAAGGAGAAAAAGGAAAAGGGGAAAGAAGGGAAATGAGATGGAGAGAAACCAGATCTCAAAACCCTTGACCCAAAGAACCCAATTCCTTCATAATTTCCAACGCCGATTCTGGCATTTTTCTGACGTTCCAAGGCTCGCCACCACCTACAATCTACTTAGCGTCATCTAAGCTTCCATTTCCACCCAAACTCGACGGCGATTGGACACAATTTCACGACGATTTCACAACGAACAATCATCGTCTTCTCCGGCACCCATGGCTGAGATACGTCACTCTGGCAAGCTTCACCATTGAGGACCACTACCAAAAGACTCATCTCAACCCCAGGAGCAAGGCTCAAGCATTGGATGAGGCATCGGAGTTCGTTTTGGTGACGAATTGAAGCTCACCCTTTTCAGGGTTTCTGACACTTCGAGGGATTTTCTGGCCACTTCCCAGCCAAATTAGGCTTCAGCCTAGGTATGAAAAATGTTCTTCTCCTTGAGTTGCACATTTCTGCAAAATTTGGTGAATTTTAGTGTTGGTCAAAATTTGGGGTTTCCGTTCGTCGGAAACCGCCACCCACGATAGCGCGTGGGTCGACGCTGCTTTTTAAATTAAATTCGATGTTCTGATATCAAATTTGGTAACTGTTTGATATAGTTTGATAGTTTAAACCTAGTATGAATATTACACCACTTGACCATTTTATGATTCAACGATCCAACCGTTGGATCGTCACCAAACCTTGATAAGTTATAGTACATAATATTTAAAGACCATAGGAATTGACAGATTGGGAATCCAATGTACAGATCTTCCCAAATTGAATTTCTAAGTTTGTAAAACCAAACATTGATAGCAACCTAATTTTAGCACTTGGCGGAGATCCAACTGTTGGATCGTTCCGAAATTTTAGAATATTGTTCTAGAAGATAAATGAGACCCTTGGGAAGTTATGGATTGAAAATCGATGGGCGGATGTTCCAGATTGACTTGTATAAGGTGTGGACTCCACCTTTGACAAAGACTTGACTTTTGGTCAATATGCTACGAATTGATCTTAAATATTAAAATCAGTATTACTAGAGACTATGTAGGGCTTAGTGGGCCTATATTGGTTAGTGAGTTATCCCAGATAATATATACATCGGTTTATGTGTATGGGATGTCATATTGTGATATATATGTGTTTATTTATCTTCTTAATAATGTGAATGATAAGTATGATAAATGTTATGACAATGTGATCCTAGAATCCTATTAGAAGTATTCTGTAGAACTTATATGCTTGTGTGACATTTTAGTTGGTGGCCATGAGAAGTTGATGGTGTAGGTGACTACGTTGTAACTCATAAGGGTTGAGGTATGGGTCGGTTGTGTGTTGAATTTACTACACCATGTAGCAGTGGTACATGGATTATCCTACTTGGTATATCCGTGATGGAAGACCATACGTTTTTTGGGGTGATCATGCTTGGTATATCCGCGATGGGTGATCACCACCTGCACGATTATACTATGCTTATGGTTTTACTCGGTATATCCGCGATGGGGGACCATATGCATTCTAGGAGTGATCATGTTTGGTATATCCACAATGGGTGATCACTACCTAAAGCTAAAGGATACAGTCATGCTTGGTATAGCCGCAATGGGGGACTGTTAGGGGTGATCATACTCTTTATATCCGCGATGGGTGATCATTGTCTACGTTATTAGAATATGCATATGGTTCTACTTGGTTTATCTATGATGGGATACCATATTGTCACATCCCAGTCTTGACTCTGTCATAACACGATATTGTTCGCTTTGGGCCCCGGCCATGCCCTCACGGTTTTGTTTCTAGGAACTCACACGAGAACTTCCTAGAGGGGTCACCCATCCTGGGAATGCTCTCGCCCAAACTAGCTTAACTTCGGAGTTTCGATGGAACCCGAAGTCATTGAGTTCCCAAAAAGACTTGTGTTATAGGAGGTGGGCATGTACATATAAGGCACATCACCCCCTCTCCGTTGGTTGATGTGGGATGTTAGATATACGCATTCTAGGAGTGATCATGCTTGGTATATCCGCGATGGGTGATCACTTCTTGGAGTTAGGATGTGGTCATGCTTGGTATATCCGTAATGAGGGACCATACGTATTTCAAGGGTAATCATGCTTGGTATATCCGTGATGGGGGACCACACGCATACTAGGGGTGATGAGGATTGGTTGTACTTGGAACATTTCGGTAAGTGCCATATTTTAGTTGGATTCCGTTGAGTGGTCCAGATTCCTTGCTCTTGCTCATTTTCATAAGGTTAGTCCGACCCTAGATTTGAGTGAATGGGGAGTAACCATAGTAGACCTTGTGAATATAAATGAAATTCACCATGTTATTACTTATAATCCAAGTAGGGATTTATGTAGAGTTCTTTAATTAAATTCGTGAAATGATATGTTATTTCATTGATTGATTAACGCAGTTAGACGTTAATATCGTGCACCTTTGATTCATGGATTTGATTAATTGACGTGATTGTGGAGTGTCATGGGATATGATTGTTATTATTATGAATAGATTGGTAGATCAATGTGGATTGAGAATAATATTGTG